GAATCCCACCCACCAGTTTTGAATGAGCTCCCACGTAAGGTAATCAAGGCCGCTCCAATTACCTACAACGAACGACTGCAGCTGCCGCTCCGCTCGATTGAGAACCTGCATCATTAACATCGCGGGAGTACAAAAAAACGCAAGATTCCGTATATTGCATACCGTCCGACCTAGAGCCTCCACGTTTCCGAAACAGCGCACATAGTCAAGACAGCATAGTTTTTGCAACTTTCGGTTCATACTGGATGTAACAGTCAGGGTCGTACAGGATTACGCTGGCAAGAACTCCTGTCGTTTCTCTGATCAAGAGTCCGGACAAGTGGAGAGATGCGCTCGAAGTACCATCTCTGAGGCGGCGACAATTATTTTCATTCTCGCCTGGGCATTGCTGAGCCCGTGACTTTGGATCTGGCGGCCGCAGGCACTGCCGAACGTGTACGCCGTGAGGGAGTCCTTCATGGAGGTACTGTATGCCCGCATAGTCATCGCCAAAGGCGGTGCCTGTGGCAATGTCGTGCGGGGCAAGCGAGCAGCAATCACAAAACAAAGTAGGGAAGGATAGATAGAAGCGGGATGGTGAGGGCCATCGATGAATCCGAACGTTGTGCCTGACTACTGCTGCGTCGTCCAATTCCGCGCTCAAGTCATTCAAACGTCCCACGTTTCACCTGACCCTCAAGCGTTCATGACCCTTCGCACGTCTTTCCCTACGTACCTTACCCAATACAAACCCAAAAAAAAAGAAAGCCATCCTTCCCCGTTCCCCACCCAAAAAACAATACAACAGAACACATAAACACACGCACGAATTCGTCTTTTTAATACGAACCCTAGGCCTAAAATACCGGCACTGACCATTTCGAAAGTCCCCGTGCCAAAGACTTCTTCAGGGGTGCGCATGGCCGTCGGGTCGCCCATCTTGTCCCGGTGCACGTAAAACTGTCGGTACAGCTCCTCCCTTTTCGCCGTTGTCGTGGGCACGTGTCATGGGTCATATTCGCGGCAATGCGATGAAAAGTGTGAAGAATATGCGATTGGTTGCGATGAAGTGAGACAAAAAGTGTGATGACAGCATGTCGTGTGTGATAAACGTGGACATGCCGGCGTCTACCGCCGCGGGTCCATCGCTGTACGTGACGCGTATCAAATCGCGGCAATAGTGAATAGCAGCAATGCCAGAGCGCGTTCGCATCACACCCACGAATGAGCCTCGCAGGGTCGTAAAACCTGGCGTTCATGCTTTGAAATGAACAACCTCCAAACACAACTGTCAGCTTAAAGGGGGGGGGAGATCAGTCGAAGTTCAACAATAGAGTCATTTTGTCTTGCTTCAGAAGCGTGCTGACCGATATCGTTTCCAGCAGGTGAATCGCTCTTCCAGCAAATCGGTTGTTGAATGTGCGGCTTGAACCAAACTCTAGGCCCTCGACGCAAGCTTCAACAAAATGCGCCAATAATCAAACTGTTCGCGGAATCTGAGTACCTCCTGGACCCGATAGCGGCCTTGAGGGAGATGTCCCCGCCATTGTATCGCCCAATTACGATGCTTTCGCCCACCGCGTCTACCCTTGCCACCTCGTCCCACGCCTTCGACACCTGGACACGACAACACATGGAAAACGAACGTGAACTGACGCCAACAGAACCTTTCGCAAACAGTCACCGCCGATGATGAATATGCACGTCAACGATGCGATTTCATTCTGGCGCTTCGCCAGAACGTAATCATCCAAACACATTCAAGATAAATAGCAGGACGCATGCATACGTGCAAAAACCATATCGGGCAACCAAGCAACGAGTACAGAAGGATCGCCGTATATCGCGTGAGGGTACATCCGTAGCTCCCTGTATCAACAACCTACCATCATCACCGTCGGAGACACACGCACGGCAGGACAACGCCTTTGTCGAATCAACAAACGAGACGAACACAGGAATGAGAAAGATCTAAGCTTTCCATGACATGCGTGAGCAGAGAACGGGATACAGGCATGTAAGAGGGAAACCTCGGGTGGGCTGAATTTCGAGCCAAGACACGAATCACCAACCCACCATTTGCAAGGGCTTGGCAGCGCCCGACCTTTCCAGCATCTTGGCCGACCCCAACCGGTCATTCTGTGGACAAGGGGAACAGAGGGACAGGGGTGAGAAGGCTTTGCTGACCGCAGTGCATAGCCCTCGAGGGAGAAGGATACGGGCCAGGGCGAAGGGGATAGGCCCTAACTCTTGCCACAGAAACACAGGAGATGTGAAAGACGCGGTTAAAACGCATTTCGGAACAAACGAAGTCCGAGATATCCTGCCCCAATTTTTTCCCTCCAGCCGTTACATCCACGTGGGATGGGAACTTGTCGTCATTGCATTGCGATCACGCGGAACAATTCTCTTGGTACCCGGATGAAGTTAGTTATAACCCACTTTGAGTGTCGTACATGGACCGGTTGCGGAAAGTCGCTTTCGGAATTCAAGTCGAAAAGGAGGACAATGTAAGGGCTTGAGGTTTCGAGCATTGACGGAATGTGAACGGAAAGAGCGCGCCGCTGCTGCAGGGGGATAAGTCGACGGATGATTCTTATCAACACTCACTCTGACTACATAGCGTTTGCCCCGTAGACGATGAGTTTTGCGTTCGCCTTGGTGCAGGGAGCGCTTTATGGAAACTACCAGGTATATGATACCACGCACAACGATGAACACGCCGGTTCGTGCGAAGGCCACCTCCGCAAGTAGACGCCTTCTTCTCTTTCAAAAAACAAATCACCATGTCATAAAAGGCATCCCTCCGGAGTGGGGTAAAGAGAACACCGCGGCAAGGGGTGATGCAAGAACATGCAACAAGCTCGCAGAAAAACAACAGTAAATATGTACTCGCTTCGTTTTTATTTGCTGCCAATACCAAAGGATTCGCGACATTTTTGGAAGGTCGGTGCGAGCTTGTTCAATTTTCTGGATTTTTTTTGGTTGATAGCCGTATCCGCGCGGATCGATGTGCATATGTAGATATATGCACATGGCGACCTCCCGACCTCGCGCTCGGCGGTCTGCACGAAGATGTTAGCACTGCTCTGCATCTCTGCTGACACCACCACGACATACATGGCTCGACTGCTGCCGGAAACAAACATTCAGGGGGCGGCTTTGGTATGTTGCTTTTTATTCAGCAGTCAGTAGAATCATGGCCAGTAGAACGACGAATTGATTGAGCGGCGTCATCAAGCGGTGTTTTTCTCCACACACGCACACACCCTCGAAACAGTAGCGAAGAAAAACTACGTGCATATGCGCGCTTCAAGCGCGCGAACAATATGCGGTGGTGACCGTAGCATCATGATGTGTGTCAAAAATCCGGTGGGGATGGGGCGAGATGAGACAGCAGTCCACAACGTCTTCGCCGTTCGGCAGATATGACAGAAGACCCGAATTGAAAAAAACAAAATGTGACTTGAAATTCTTCGGTTGTACCCCCTTGCTGCTGGGAACGCTACTGCTGTACAATGCTCTTTTCCCCTCTCGTGCCAGCCCACACGTACACGCTCGCTCCACAGCCGCTCTGACAGCTGCCGCGCCAACGCTTAGCTGATGATGTTGTTGGCCGTTGACACATGGTTCAACATCAGATCAGGAACAGCTTGCCACCGTGCACGCTTTTCGTTGAAGCTGACGTCTTCTGCCGGGCTGTTCGACACGACAGGCCCGACATTCCGCGACAGGTGACGCGACAGATGGACAAATTCACAGACAACGACGAGAGACTTCGCCTCCCCCCCCGCCCCCTGCATATCACCCCGTCGTGTTACGACAACTCGCCTTTGTCCGCTTGACCAAAATCATCCTGGTGTCCGCGAAGATGATGGTCAGGTCGCTAATCTGCGTGTGGGACTCATACTTGTCGCCCGTGCTTCCCTTGCCCTCCACTCCGCTCTCAACCAGCGCCTGCACTTTCATTTTGTGGGTTGTACATGAGTCGTCCTGAGCATTCCCGAGGGCTCTTCATTGGATACCGTAAATGTGCGAGATATTGCACACACCCCGTGGTCCGACTTTCATGCGCAGCCCCCCCGTGGTCCGACTTTCACTGACCGGTTTTATTCACAACCAAAATGTGTACCAATGCCGACAAGGGTTGTGGGGGAACGATCTCGTCCAGAGGTCTCCTTGCTGCGCACCCTCTCGGTTGAGGAGTAGTCAAGCGTTGAAAGCCAGTTTAGGGGGGGTGCGATCACTCGCACTTGTACTGAAGTCGGTGACTTATGTGCGAGCATCATGTGAAAAACATTTTTGGGGCTTGCATGAATTCGGAAGGAGTGTCTTGGTACGCGGTGTTTTATGTTTTGATGGTGCGTAAAGCTACTGCGCCATAGTTCGGAGTGCGCAGAAGCTTGTTTCCTCGGGTAGGTGTGACATTCATCAACCATGAAAAAGCGAAGGGGCAGCAGCAAAAAAAGACGTTCAGGCGGCGGCCTCTGGTAAAGTACAGAGTACATTCTACCAAAGCCGCGTAAGCCTTCGAACCCAAGCACTAGTGGACGTACTGTGAAAGTGAAGGCTCCCATGGCTGTGATTGTGCCGCACCCATGTGCATGCAGCAGCAACGAAGACGCTAAGAACAACACCAAAAACAAAAAACACCTTGCCTGTGCCTCCGCCGCTTCCATGGAGAAGTCCAACAGCACCAGCTGGCCCGTCTCCGAGTCCTTTGTCAACGCCCGCCGTGGACGAAGATGCTTCTGCCGCTGAACGTTCTCCGCCTCGTTCGAGATGCCCTGAATTTCACGAACAGCGGAGCGAGAGACCGAAAATGAAACGTATGGAAAAATTGCCGAGTCGAGAGACATTATGGGGATTCGTCACCGCGGATGGCCTGCATCACCCCGAAAGGAACGACGGGCGGCAGAGTCCCGGCTGGGTTGAAAATCATGCATTGGGGATATGAAAAGCGACGGAACGAACATGACGTAGGCAGCACAAAGATGCTGGAAAGCCAGCTACCCCTACTCCTACCCCTATTCCTACTCCTACTGATACTCTCGCTACTGTTACTGCCACTGCTACTGCTACAACAACAACAACAAACACCTGCGCAACCGAGATGACCGAGTCGGTCACCCCCACGACGGGCTTCACCACGGCACCAACCAGGCCCTTCCCCACGCCCTTAAAAAATCCGCCGACACCTCCCTTCTTGGCTCCGCTTACGGGATCCATGAATATTCCCGAAACACCCGAGGTGAGGCCTCCAGCGATATCTTTGCTCCCCTGCGGACCATGCAGGTGGAAAAAAAACAAATGATCAAGCAAGTTGAGGTCGACACTCAAGCAGGAAGTGATGGCCTTGGCCTGGCGCGCTTCCTCACAGCATCATTGTTGGTGAGCATTTGTCCAACATCGCTTGGTAGGTTTTGCTCTTCGCGTTAAGGGCGATGCAATTCGACAAGTAAACGGTGCCAAGGTATCAGCGCTCGGCGGACCCTTGCCCCCATGCCGCCCCCCACCGCACCCCTCTCTCGTCGCCGCCCAAGGAAACAACACCTCCAAGTGGAACAATGCCTCAACACTCACGGCGGAGATTCTTCAGCGGTAGTTCCTGAAAAACCATGCACATCATCCTGTTGTTAGTGCTGCTTCTACCGCCGTCACCATCTCCACCTCCACACTAGAAAATACATCTGCCCTCTTGACTATCTCCTCGTTCGTTGGCATCTTCTCCAAATTAAAATGCAACTCGAGACACAGGATTCGAAATGAATACAAGCACTCACAATATCAAGAGTAAATATGTATACAAAACATTGTCGGGGTCCTCTCCGTGAAACGCACCTGCAGCAGTCCATGGCCCACGCCCCCCTGGCTGGCTATGGCCTTGTTCTTGTCTCTCTCGCGCCTCAGCTGGTAATCGTTGTCGAAGGATAGCTTAGATACCGTGTCGGTAACAGCTCCGCCGACGCCTGCCACGGAGTTGAAAACCCCCTTAACAGTGCCTGAAGTGTTAACGTCGGTGAGGGGGGGGGGGGGGG